ATTGCTGAGTAGTATTCCATCATATAAATAAACCACAAGTTGTTTAGCATTCGTTAGGCATTTGAGTTGTTTCCAGTTTGGGGCTATTGTGAATAAAACTCCTATGAACACTGTTGTACAAATTTTTTTTCTGGACATGTTTTCATTTCACTGTGTACATGCTTATAAGTAGAACTTTGGGTTATAGGGTATGTGTATGTTTAGCTTTTTGAGAAACTGCCATCTTCCAAAATGAATGTGCCATTTTTACACTCCCATCAGCAATGCATGAGAGTTCTGATAGTTTAACCTCCTTGCCTACATTCATTATTGACTTTTTAATTTTAGCTATTCTAGTGGGCATGAAGTAGATATTATTGTGACTTTAATTTGAATTTCCCTGTGATGTTGAGCAACTTTTCATGAACTTTTGGCCAAAGGGCTAACTTTTATGAAGTGTTTATGAAGTTCAGGTATTAGGTCCAGTTTTTATTGGGTTGCTTATATTATTATTATTATTTTGTTGGATTATTTGAATATTCTGGACACAAGTCTTTTGACTGATATATGTATTATGAATATTTTCTCCAAGTCTGTGGCTTGCCATTTAATTTTCTTAACAATTTCTCTGATGAGCAAAGGTTTTTAATTTTGATGAAGTCTAATTTTTCAGTTTTTTTCTGTTGGAGTTCATATTTTTGTGTCCTCTCTAAGAAATACCTCCAATTCTCAAAGGTATTTTCCTATTGGTTTCTTCTGAGAACTTTATATTTTAATTTTATGTATATTTTATATCTGAGCCTATGATCCATCTCAAATTAATGTTATATATAGTTTGAGGAATGAGTAGAGGTCTCTTCTCCCAAAGGTTTATACAGTTTTCCCAGGGCCATTTGCTGAAAAGGCTAATTTCCTCATTGAATAGCTTTGGCACCTTTGTTGACAAACAATTGATAAGTGAGTCTGTTTCTGGATTCCATTCTGTTCCATTGATCTACTGGTCTATCCTCAGATCAGTACCATACTGTTTTGATTACTGTAACTTCACAGAACATTTTAAAGGCAGATGTTATGAATTCTCCAGCTTTGTTCTTTCTTAAAAAAATTGTTTTGCCTATTGTAGGTTCTTTGTAATTCCACATACATTTTAGCTAACTTGAAAATTTCTACAGAAAGACTTGGGATTTTGATGGGATTGTGTTGAATCTATAAATCAATTTGGAGAAAATTGAAATTTTAATAATATTTCCTCTTTTAATCCATAATCATTATATCTATCTATCTATCTATATACCTTTACTAAGACCTCCTTTTATTTTTTTCAGCAATACTTTGTAATTTTTGTGAAGAAATTTTGTATAACCTACTACGTATTTATTTCTGAATATTTTATATCTTCAAAGCTATTGTAAATGATGTTTAATCCTCTGCCCCACTGGTATATAGAAATAGACTTTATTTTTGTATATGGACCTTGTATCCTGCAACGTTTTTACATTTATTTATTAGTTCTAGTAATTTTTTTTTGGTAAATTTCCCAGGATTTTTTGTGTACACGGTCATACTGACTGCAAATAGAAGCAGTTTTATTCTTTCCTGTCCAATAAGTATATGTGCTCTTTATTTCTTTTCCTTGCCTTATTTTCTGCTTATCAGATGGAAAGTGCTCAGTTATTCACCATTTAAGTAGGCTGTTAGCTATAGGTTTCTTGTAGATGCCCTTTGTCAGATTGAGGATGTTGGTAATTTGTGCTTTTTTCTTCCCTATCTCTTGGTTTTTTTTTTTATCAACCTAGATATGGATTTATTGATTTTTCTAAACCTTTTAAAGGACTAACTTTTAGTTTCATTTATATTCTCTATTTTGTATTCATTTCTATTTTATTGTGTTCCTCTATTTTTATTTCCTCCTTTCTACTTACTATAAATTTATTTTGTTCTTCTTTACTTAGCTCCATAAAGTGAAAGCTTAGGTCATTATTTTCTCGTGTGAATCCTAGTCATCTTATTTATTCCCTTTTCTGATGACCCCAGACCGTTCTCTCTTTTCTACCTCATTCATTTTATATTTTCTTTATATAGTTGTGTATACTCTTTTAGTCCCTAGTTTTCCTTGTGCATACACATTTGTTTTACGTACATGTCTTTGACTGAATCCCTAAATGAATGATAGGTGCCCTTATTGCAAGAACTCTATCTTCTGCTGGCTTTGTAAGCTTTTTAGTACCTTGTCTGTAGTTGATGTACAATTAAAAGACGTTGCTCAAGCGCCATTAAGGTGGAAGCTACTGTGGGTGATAAGGGTTAGGTATAATGCAGATATTCTTTAAGAAGCTGACTAATTTTTAAAAGATGTTATTAAAATAACACAAAATAATATATAATAAGAGTCAAATGAGATGACTAGACATTAAACAAATGAGGCATTCAGAAGAAGGAGAGGAGACTATAGGGCAGATTATTTAAGGAACTTCAAAGAGGAAATGGGATTTGAACTGGCTCTGAAGCGGAGATTGGATTTAAGTGAAAAGGAGAGGACACCATTCTCATTGTGGGCAAAGCATGTGCAAAGGTCCTAGGTAAAAATGTACGCTGCTTGTTTGGACGACAGGGAAGAGACCAGTGAGGGAAAAGCTGGGGAAGAGAACTAAGATACAATGTCTAGAGAGCTCTGATTACCAAGTCCAGGATCCTGGGGTTATGGGTCTGGCACACTCACTTCTGATGGCAGGTCTGCAATGCAATCTTGGAGCTCATGCAGTTTTCTTTCCTACTTGGCCCATGCTCTCTGAGTAACACAGGAAGGAGTTTCCAGGCCAAATCCTCCACAGCTTTGAACTTGGCCTTGGGCATTCTTTGTTTTCTCTTGGGGATTTCCTTCCGTCATTGCTCAGTCAGTCCTCTGAAACAGCAATTCTGTATTTTTTAAGGCTGGCTGCCAGAAGGCCTGGTTATTTGGTTTGCTGGTAGGAAACCTTGGTCTTGCTCCACCCTCCCTGTCTAGCTCAAAGAGTCTACACACCCTTAATTTAAAAAAGGAAACCACCTTCTCCAAGTGAGTAGCATAAAACAGAGAACCCAGCTGTCTTTCTCTGGGAAGAATAAAGTACTTCTGTCTATAAAACAGCAGAGATATTGATCCTTTGTACCTATTCATTCACTTAGGAGTCTTTGTTTTCATTGTTCTCATCTAATGCATCTGGCTGGGAACACAATAAGCATTTTCATCCTACAGAATTTTACTCTAGTTAAGCTGGATTTTGGGGGGATGTGTCCAGGAGTGACCCGAGATGTTGAAGCCACGGGTATTTGTAATGGAGCTGGGACAGCAATGCTACTCACCTGGGGGACACCAAACAGCAAATCCAGAAGCTGAGTGCTCTGAGAGCCCGGAGGAGGGAGCACTGCGCTCGAAGAAGGCTTCCAGAAAACCTGGAAGTGGAGGGGCTGGATCTGGATTCAGGAAAGGATAATGTAAACATCGTCTTAGAGCCACTGAGCACTGCATTTTAGGGGTCGGTAAGAAGCCCACCTGGCTTCTTCAAGAATGGGTATATGGAGGGGGGTGGGTGGAGAAATGACGTTTTCACGGTGGCCATGTTTAAGCTTCTGAAGGCCTCACTCTATGCTCAAACAACAGCCCGCACCCAATGGAATTAAGTGTATTTCTAACTTAAGAGTTAGCAGTAGCCCTGGCCAGTTTGGCTCAGTGGTTAGAGCGTCGGCCTGCGGTCCTGAGAGACCCGGGTTCGGTTCCCGCTAAGGGCGCGTACCTCGGTTGCAGTTTGTCCCCGGCCCTGGTTGGTCGTGTGGGTGGCAGCCACTCGATGTGTTCCTTCCACATCGATGTTTCTCTCTCTCTTTCTCTGTTCCTCTCTCTCCCTCCCACTCTATCTGAACAAAAAATGGAAAAATGTCCTCGGGTGAGGATAAAAAAAAAAAAAAAGAGTTAGCAGTATGTCCATGTGTAAATTTTGTTATAATAATCCATTTGTTAAAATGCAATGTGAGTTATGGCCAGTTTAATTTCTGAATGCCGTGTTGAAATCAGCCTCAGACTTTGGTCCTGCTGGGTTTCTTTGGGACCCATCTGCTCAGCCAGGCCATGACAGGTGGCAGCAAGTGGAAGAGAGGAATTCTGCTTCTTCATGTCCTGGCTGGGTAGGGAGGTGTCTTCAGGTGTCCCCACCCTACCCCATCCCAAGAGTCGCACCTTTCTCAGTTGACTGGGGGCTGGGAAGGGATGGACTGCCTTGGCTGGTCTGGGGGTTAGGGAGCTCAAAGCTCCCTGGACATTCCCAAAGATAGCCCACAACCTCCCCAAGGGGCTGATGTCTGAATCAGGCAACTTACTGTAAGCATTTGGGGGTAGAAACCAAGGAGCCAGCCTTACTTAGTAGGGGACACTTTAGAGCAGTGGTTCTCAACCTTCCTAATGCCGTGACCTTTTAATACAGTTCCTCATGTTGTGGTGCCCCCCAACCATAAAATTATTTTCGTTGCTACTTCATAACTGTAATTTTGCTACTGTTCCGTCTTAGACAACCCCTGTGAAAGTGAAAGGGTCGTTAGACCTCCCCTCCCTGCTTCCCAGGGGGAAGCCAGACCTACTCTCTCACCCGTGGGGCCTGGTTCCTGCCCTTTGCAGAAATACCCTTCACCCTCAGAAAGGGCTTATTGGCTATGAGAGCAGAGGTTAGGGCCCCGCTATCCTGCCCCGGTCCTGGCCTGATTTGGAACATGGGTGGGGACCCGGAACCCCACCAGCTCCCTCATCCCTGTGCCTCTCAGTCCTCTGTCACTTCCTTCCTGTTTTGTGGCCCTTCAGTTTCATAATTTAAAAAACTGTTCCACAGCTACATGCATTCTTACTTCTTCTATTTTTTTTATTTTGGTCACATATGCCTTGGAGGTAATGTGTTTCAGGAACTTCCCACTGCAGGCTTCCCCAGCTCTTCCTGCCCCGCGGTTTCCATCTGCTCCTTTCCTGGTCTAACCCCGAGTTTCTTCCTTTTCACCAGAGTCCAGACATCCTCAGCACCGTTGGCTACGACAGCATCATCCAACATCTGAACAACGGCCGCAAGAACTGCAAAGAGTTCGAAGACTTTTTAAAAGAAAGGTACATGCTGTTTCCTCTCTGGAGACTGAGGGGAGGACAAAATGCTTCCACACAAGCAAGGAGCAGTTCACTGTTTCACAGCTGTTTCTAACGGCTCACGGGACCTCTGCAGCAGGTTATGGAACGCTCCCCAAGATGTGAATGACATCTCTGTCCTAAAGCTCTTAGAAACCAGTTCGAGAGATAAGATTGATGAATGAAACAGCAAACAAAATGTAATACAACATTAAGTTGTGTGATACGCATGACACTGAGACCTCATGGGGGTGGCGGTGATTATGGAGGGCTGGCCAAAAGGGGGGGGCATGGGAACTTCGTGGAAGAGGAGATCCTGAGGTGGTCCTCCAAGAGTGCAGTGGATCTGACAGGTGGAGGGGTATCCAGATGTCTAGGGGGGAACAGAAAGCTTGGAGATGAGAATGAGCATGACCCATGTGGTGAGCAGGGAGCAGAGCCTGATTCAGGCACCACGGGGGGTCAGGGTGCAGTGACAAAGATGTGGGGACAGGTGATGGCACTCCAGATGGCAGCAGGGCTTGGTGGCGGTGGAGGACTGGCATGCTTTAGAGGATTTTCCTTCCTTTTTAAAAATTTTTATTTATGAATTTGCAAGAGAGAGAGAAACATCGATTTGTTGTTACACTTACTTATGCATTCATTGGTTGCTTCTTGCATGTGCCCTGACTGGGATTGAACCGCCAACTTGGCGTATGGGGACCACGCTCTAACCAACTGAGTTACCTGGCCAGGGCTTCTTTTCTTTTCTTTGTTTAATGGATAATATTTTTTAAAAATTCTATACTTCATGGAGTGTGTTAGTTTTTTGGAACTCCTAGTCATCTGGAATACTTCACTGTAAGTCTGGATGGGGTGCTTTAGTGGGGGGTTGGCCTAAGATCCAGGTCATTGCCAGGCCCCAAACTAATTGACAGTGAGTCAGAGTCATAACTGGAGATTCAGACATCAAAGTGTCTTCGATCGAGTCTCTTTATTTTCTACTCAAGAGAGCATTAGGCAACATCAAGCTCACACTGGTAGCTGCATTCCGATGGTGAGGCCTCTCTCCTTGACCTGATTCAAAGGTCTGGAGCCAGACCACCCCCCACTGGGCATCCCTGGAGGGGTGGACAGAGCAAGCTCTGTCCTCTGGCAGGCTCCATGGAGCTGGTCACTGAGCCTCCTCCTTTGAGGGACCAGCCTCCCTCTTCTACCCAAGCTGGTTAACGGTGTGACACCAAGTTACAGCCTTCCTTTCTCTTGATAGTCAAGAGAGATGGGCTTCCTCCTTTCTTCAGCAGTGCTGACAAAGTAGCAAGGAATCAAGAGTCCCATGGCTATGCAGGAGATAGAGACTGCAGAACATCCCTTGCTTTTGTGTTCTTCCTCCAGTTAGGGCTTTTATACATTTTTCTCCTGAGAATAAATAGCTTTGCGACAGATCCACGAAAGAGGTGTTGGCTAATGGCTGAAGCTTCTGCTGCCCAGGCTGCACCATCCAGTTGTCCCCTGACATAATGGGGTGGTGGTGTAGATAAGTGGTGTCCACATTTTAAAAAACATAAACCTTAGTAAGAAATAAGTTTAAGAAAACATTACTACCCTATGATTTTATTCAATTCTATTTAATTGAGGAAATTAAATAGAATTTCATGCTGACCGTAACCCAATGTATTGATTTATGGTTCCCTAATGGGTCATGACCCACAGTTTGAAAAACACAAGTCCAAATAGAACCCCAAAGCTAAGATCTCACTTTTATTTATTTATTTTTAATCGTCACCCGAGGACATTTTTCTATTTTTGTTCAGATAGAGTGGGAGGGAGAGAGGAAGTGAGAGAGAGAAACATCGACGTGAAAGGGACACATCGAGTGGCTGCCTCCCGCACAACCCCAAGCCGGGCTGGGGACAAACTGCAACCAAGGTACATGCCTGGGTCTCTCTGGACTGCGGGCAGACCCTCTAACTGCTGAGCCGAACCGGCCAGAGCTAAGATCTCACTTTGAAAATGTTTTACAAAACTATGTGGGAAAGAGGGATAAATATATGCAAATTAAAAGTGGTTAAGTATTCATACTGCATTTCTAGTATATGGCCATTTTTCTCCAAGAGTTTCGTAGCAAAAGAAACCAGTCCCATTGCTCTGATTTGAAGGAAGAATCTGCTGGCCTCAGGTCAGAGTGTCAGATATGTATGTGTGCCTGAGTGTGGGGACTTGCAGCTCTGAGCTAGTGGCCTGTCAGGTCTTTGGGCTTCCTTTCCTGGTGATACGCTTTCCAGAAGGAGGCTGCTATCACCGAGGAGAGAGCATGTGTTCCCTTACTATATCCTGTTGATGGATAACTTATGTGAGGAAGTGCAGTACTCTTCAGGTTTTGGGGGTCCAGCCTTTCCTCTTGCTCTGGTAGGTGTGGGGTGCTTATGGGACCTGGGACTTGGTCTACTGAGTCTGGGCCAGAGTCTGATGTTGCTGAAACATCCTCCTTGGGTCTTGAGTATTATTTTACTGAGATGCTGTAAATTTTATGTAGAACCCTGGCATATTCGTGTGGACCAGAGGCAAAAACACATACAAACACAGGGACAGTTTGTAATGTATATTATTTATTGAGTTCATCAAGTGTGATACACATACATTTATAAAAATTTTTTTTTATCCTCACCTGAGGACATTTTCTTTTTTCATTTATTTTCAGATAGAGCAGGAGGGAGAGAGGGAGGAAAAGAGAGAGAGAAACATTGATGTGAGAGAGACACATTGAGTGGCTGCCACCCGGGGCCGGGGACAAACTGCAACCAAGGTACATGCCCTTAGCAGGAACTGAACCGAGGACTCTCTGGCTGACGCTCTAACTGCTGAGCCAGACCTGCCAGGGCTGTTTATAAAAATTTTGTGATATGTGTCTAAGCATGTCCCATATCCAAGTTTTGAGACCCCCCCCACCCCCACCCCTTCCACCAAAGTGGCAAAGTCCTGCTATGGACTTCTCTGGAATTTCTGGCAGCTCAGCCTTGGTTATACCCAGATGGATTGCAGTCAACCCATTTACACTCATATGAGGACAGACAGAACAGTCACCTAAATGCAAGGTGTAGTGTCAGATGCTGCTCCGGAGTAAGCAGGAATGCTGCCTCACTTGCATCTGTATGGTTGATTCCTGGAGCTGATACCCGTGCTCTGTAGGTGATCTGTCCCCAGTAAGTCATGGATGACTTATTATAACACAGCAATTAACAAAACTGAGTAACAAACAATCCATCAGTACACTGTAAATTCGCCTAGTTTACTCTTCCAACCAGCTGGAAAGGCATAATGATAACATAGATGATGAGAACCACACCAAGGTCTCAGTAGCTCCATAATAACAACCACATGTGGAATATTTGCTCTGTGCTGGGCTGGGAGAAAGGTCTCAGTATCTCTGTTACTGTAACATTGAGGTTTATACATCTCTTTGAAATATTCTCCTTTGACACACATCAACTACAGGAGGTATCATTATTTCCACCCTCTTTGCATGAACATGTAACTTTTTAAATGAAGTTAGTAAGTAATGTACCATGGAAACCTAGAGAGCGACAGAATCCAGAACAGCTCCAGACCCTATGTTTATGACTCATCAACTCTTGGCAGAAGGGCAGGTGACTGTCTGGGAGGATGGGCTTGTTCCTCAAACAGAGACCTTCTCTATCTACCTTTTCTTTTTGTTTCATACATCTCACTCATCACACCACTCTCTCTGTTCCAGCCAGGCAGGTTTATTATTGAGGGTGCGTTGGACGTCTCTGCCTCTACGTCTTTACTGCATTATTTCCTACCTTGAAAATCCTCCTTTGTCCTCTGTGCTTGAGTAAATTCTCCCCATCCTTCAAAATCCAGGTTAAATTTTCTTCTTCTTTTTTTTCTAAAGGAAACATTCTACACAGCACTCCAGTCTGAGGTCTTCCATTGTTACCAATTAAAATGAACTTATCACTGGTAGCCCAAACCCACCAACTTGCTGCCCCCTACAGCCCCTGGTGGGGCCAGACATTATATACTGAGTTCCTAATATGAGTAGGAAATAAGATATAGAAAATTGAGGATAATCATACTGCAGAGAGTTGGGGTGACTAAATGAGATTATATTAATAGCTGCCATTTATTGAAGATGTACTAGATACAAGCCAGCTACCAGGTATTTTGCATATATTAGGTTATTTAATTTTCATAATAACCCTGTGTGGCAAGTTTTATCATCCTTATTTTACAGGGGAACACACTGAGGTTCAGAGAGGTTACGTAACTTGCCTAAGGTTAGATGTGTAATAAACGATAGATCTGGTTTCAAACCTGGAATGTTGGCCCTTGGAATCTGTGCTGTTAACCACTTCAGTATGCCTAGTATAGTACCTGAGACACAGTAAGTGGTGGGTAAATGGTGCCCATGACTAATATCATTATATTAATCCCAGAAGGTAGGTAGGATATACACCATTTTATAGATGAGAAATCTGAGGTTCTATAGGGGCTTAAATGACTTGTCCAAGATTACAAAAGCAGTAAGTAGTGAACCCAGGACTTCTGGTAACCCCACGTCTAATGGTTCTTCCACTTGACTTAATGGTCTCCTAAGATGGCTGGGTGTATTTTCTGAAAGGGTTTTTCCAGAAACTTGGTGGTCAGGTCAGTGCTCTTAATTGTGTATTACAGCACAATCCTGAGTAGGGAGGAGGAAAGCGTGTTTGTGGATCCCCTGTCTGTATGGAATTCTGCACCACTTGTAGGTTAGCAGCTACACCGATGGGCTGGGGATTCCCAGACCCAGTGCCTTGGGACTCTGCTCTCCCCATGAGCTCCTGTATATCCCATGGTTCTTTTCCTTTTTCAAAAAAAAATTTTTTATTTTTATTTTAGAGAGAGAGAAACATCAATCAGCTGCCTCCTACACGCTCCCAACTGGGGATTTTTCCTTGTCTAGGAATTGAATAGGGGAGGGATAAAAATGAACCGGAGTTTTCAAGGAGGGTTTTATGAAGAAAGTATAAGCAGCTAAGTGCTTAGAGGAGTATTATTTCCCCCTCTGTTTCCTCTACTGTTTTACATATTTTCCTTATGGACCTCATTACATGGTAGTAAAGTAAAGTATTGGTTTCTACCTCTCCCCCTGCCAGATTACAAGCTCTTCCAGGCAGGTCTCATACTTTAGTCATCTCTGTGTTCTCCTAATAGGACGCCTGGAACGTAGTAGGTGTTTAATAAATGACAAATTGATGAACAGATGACAGGGGAAATTTGGGTAGATGGTAGGAGGGTGACCTAGGTAAAGGTGTACCTGTTTCAGGGTAGTTTAAAAACAATTTTTTTTCTTTATTAGTTTTAGTGAGAGAGGAAGGGAAAGTAAAAGAGAGATAGAAACATCGATGAGAGAGAACATCGATTGGCCACCTCCTGCATGCTCCCCATTGGGATTGGGCCCACAACCTGGGCATGTGCCCTGACCGGGAATCGAACCTGTGACCTCTTGGTGCATGGGTCGACACTCAACCACTGAGCCACACCGGCCTGGCTCAGGGTGATTTTGCAAAGTGCTAGTGATTCCTTCATTGGCTACAGGCCCCTGAACTCCATTGCTTCCCATTTGCTGGGGGTATATCCTTTCAATCTCATGGTTGTTCTGCTGCAATAATGAAGACGAGGCTGTCATTTCACCTCCATAAAGTTTCTTCTTTCTCCAAAGAGCACACCATTGTTCTTGCTGGAATTCATTTCTTACCAGGTTCTAGGACTCTCCATGGGGATCAGATGCTGCCTGCGGTGTGTTCAGATTGTTGGTGCCTTAATGTTAAAGAAAGCAATTTAATTTCTCTTCCTGGAAACTACAAAAGATTATTGACAATTCCTAATGGCTAGAATTCTGAAAGGATAAAATATGTGCATATTTTAAAAATTCACATATATACTATTTTTTAATGAAAATGGCCTTAACATCTTTATAGATGTGAAAGTATTAAATGTTCTTTGTAGAGAATTGTAAATTTTTATATAGATGCGGTAGTTCCCCCTTATCTGCAGTTTTGCTTTCTTCAGTAAAACAATGTATATGTTTTAAATTGCATGCTGTTCTCAGTAGAGGGATGAAATCTCACACTGTCTGCTCTGTCCTGCCTACGATGTGAATCATCCTTTTGTCCAGCATATCCACACAGTATACACTCCCTACCTGTTAGTTGCTTAGTAGCTATCTTGGCTGCAGATTGACTCTCATAGTATCACAGTGCTTGTGTTCAGGAAACCCTTACTTTACTTAATAATGGCCCCAAAGCACAAGAGTAGTGCTGCTGGCAATTCAGAAATGCCACAGAGGAGCCGTCAAGTGCTTCCTTTAAGTGAAAAAGTGTGTGTGTATAGAAAAAGAAAAGCAGTATACATAGGGTTTGGTACTCTGCGGTTTCAGGCATCACTGGGAATCTTGGACACAGCATGGAGATGGTGACCAAGGGCAATGGGGAGAGGGAGAAGGGGAAAGAAGGGGACACTTCCAGTGCTTTAACAGACTTACGCCACACCAAATAATGATCAGCTGTTTTTGTGAGACATGCTGACTACAGAGTTTATATTCTGAAAGTCCCTCTTTAGTATAATTAGTTGTGTATTTGAATTGACTGTAAATAAGGAACGCTACAGAATGGCGAAGGGGTACTATTAGAGATGAGAGGAGGAGGGGTGCGTCTCAGGAGGGCATTTGATGGAAAGATTTCTTACTCCACTAAAACCCCCCAAGTATATATATAGATAGATCCTCGGATCATAGTTTTCACATTTCAATCTGTAATGTAGTAGCCAGTGCTGGTAGAGGGCCATGCTAAGGACTTCTAGCTGGAGAAGACTATCTTAGAGATAAAGATCACTGGTCTTTTTACAATTCTTCCCTGTTACACAGAGGGAGTTTTGCATATGAGAGAATGGTGTTATAGCTGAGCTACTCTGAAAGGTGCAGTGTTGCCTGCAAGGGGAGGGCCATTATCTTAACTAAAAGTCAGCCCTAGCCCTGGCCGGTTTTGCTCAGTGGTTAGAGCGTCGACCTTTGGTCTGGAGAGACCTGGGTTCGGTTCCCGCTAAGGGCATGTACCTCAGTTGCAGTTTGTCCCCGGCCCTGGTTGGGTCATGTGGGTGGCGACCACTCGATGTGTCCCTTTCACGTCAATGTTTCTCTCTCTCTCTCTCCCTCCCACTCTATCTGAACAAAATATCAAAAAATGTCCTCGGGTGAGGATAAAAAATAAATAAATAAATAAATAAATAAATAAAAGTCAGCCCTAACTTATAACCCTCTCTTCTATTCCCCTTAGGGCATCAATTGAAGAGAAATATGGCAAGGATCTACTCAGCCTCTCTAGGAAGAAACCATGTGGACAATCTGAGATCAAGTAGGTGCCACAATTCTTTTTGATTTCCAGGTTGGCCTGTACCGCCAGGAGCCCTATCACTTCAGCAGACAGAGCTGGCCAGGGGGGTGAAGTATCTTGGATGAAAACAATTTTTTTTTAAATTTTCAGTTGTGAAAAATATGGAAAAATAGAAACTTGAAATGAACTTTGAAGCTACAACCCATTATTAATATTGTCTAAGTTTTCCTTGAGGTCCTTTTTTATGTATACTTTTTCATGGGTGGGATTACATTATATATACTTTTGTATACTAGAAATTTAATATAGAGGCTTATACACACACCTATATACACATACATAGTTTGTGATAGCTACAAGAGACTATTTTTGCGCCATTTATAGTTCTCACCACCAAGGTGAGATGTCTGTACTGCAATTATTTATTCTTCATAGGCAGTTATCCAGGAACCTGGACTTTGAAAGGCTTCATAATTGGCTAAATGCTCTTTGCTGTCATCATTTTGAAATTCTTAATAATTTATAAACAAGGGGTCCCACATTTTCATTTTGCAGTGGACCTCATAAAATTTGTGGCTGGTCCTACACATATGGAAATTTCTAGAGTCCTTCTCCAAACCAAGGAAGTTAGGGGAGGTGGTGTCAGGAGAAATACTTAAGACAGAACCTTGCAGGCTCTGCAGACCTAATCACATTGCATACTGAGCTGCACGCTGCGTGGGCTGTGCTACGGACAGCTGCACAGAGGTCGGTGTCCTCTCCGAGGATGGGGGCCGACTAGGTCTTGTCCTTCCTCTTCTCTTGCTTCTAAAATACACGCACACATGCATGCATGCACACATGCATTCCCAGACTTCAAAGTACTAGATTAATGAAAAGGATGAAAAGAAAACGGGAGATAGTTGAAATATTAATAATTACATAGCCTAAAATCTAGCTACCCACAGACATAGGACATTTATATAAGGAGAATTTGTTTTTTAACTTAATGATTATATCTTATTTTTGATGTTGTAAATGAAAAATTTTAAAACATAGTGAGCTCTGGTGGGTGTGGCTCAGTTGGTTGAGCCTCATCCCATGCACCAAAAGGTGGCTGGTTTGATTCCCTATACAGGCACAAACCCAGGTTGAGGGTTTGATCCCCATCAGGGTGTGTGTGGGAGGCAACTGATTGATGTTTCTCTCTCACATCAATGTTTCTCTCTCACTTCCTCTCTTTCTAAAAAATCAATTAAAACATTAAAATAAAATATAAAAATAAAAACACACTGAAAAGTAAAAAAGACAAACATAAGAAATCCATCACTTAGATTTCTAATTATCCACATTTGCCATATTTTCTTTTTTTTATCCTCACCCGAGGACATTTTCCCATTTTTTATTCAGACAGAGCGGGAGGGAAAGAGAGAGAGAAACATCAGTGTGAAAGGGACACATCAAGTGGCTGCCACCTACACGACCCACCCAGGGCTGGGGACAAACTGCAACCGAGGTACATGCCCTTAGTGGGAACCGAACCCGGTTCTCTCTGGACCACAGGCCGACACTCTAACGGCTGAGCCAAACTGGCCAGGGCTTGTCATATTTTCTTAATATCATTTTATGGCTTTAAATTTAAACCTGGAATCAATGATTTCTCAAAATATACTTAGTTCCTTTTAGTGAGATGAATCTCTATGCTCTAGCATTGGTCATTGTGACAGAGATGTTCCTGCTTCTAGGTCCTTTTAGGGGACAGATTTTAAAAGCATGAGTTTACATTGATAGTTCCAGTTCTAAATTCATTTCACAGGGTTTTACTTAGCTTCCTTAATTTCACATTTATTTCTTCTTAAACAGAAAATCTTGGTTCTAGCAGAATTATTTGCTTTATATGACAATATGTATCAAATATTTCCAAAATAATATCAATATTGCTACTACCACTCATAAAACTTATGAATAAAGTTTAACATTTCCTTTTGATTTTAGGCTATGTTTCACTATAAACACTGTGTCCTACGGTCACTTAAAATATTTATTTTCTCTGTGTGATTATGTAACCAATTTTTTATTAGTTAAGTTTGTTTCAGTTTGTTTTACATTTTAAGGATTCTTTTTTCCCCTGTTTGATTTAGTTTTATTTTGTGAATATGTAAAACATTTACAGCCCTGGCCGGTTTGGCTCAGCGGTTAGAGCATCGACCTGCGGTCCGGAGAGACCCGGGTTCGGTTCCCGCTAAGGGCACGTACCTCGGTTGCAGTTTGTCCCCGGCCCTGTTTGGTTGTGTGGGTGGTGACCACCCGATGTGTCCCTTTCACATCGATGTTTCTCTCTCTCTCTGTTCCTCTCTCTCCCTCCCACTCTATCTGAACAAAGAATGGAAAAATGTCCTCGGGTGAGGATGATAAAAAAAAACATTTACATGTTCACAGGTCAAAACTGCATAGACTTAGACAAGTTGCACTGTCCTTCCAGCAGGATTTAGATCACTTCAGGGGAGATTAGTAGGTCAGCTGACCCCCCAAAAGCACCCCACATTTATTTATAAAATAAATAAGCTGTTTGGGAAAATATCCAAAACTCTTTGCGGTGATGTCATGGGTAATAGCCACCTTCTCTCACATAGTGCTTCTTGGAAAAGATATTTAGCAGAATGAGTCTGATCCAAGTAGTGTTTCTTATATTCCTACCCAGCTGACTGGTAACTGAGTAAATTCCTAGAGAGACTCTGGCACTGTTCTCTTCTGTTCTGTGACAACAGTTTTCCTTCTAAGAGTACGCGCCTCGGAGAGCGACACCCAACAGCATGTGAGACCTGGGGCTGTGTTGCCAAGGTTGAAGTGAAAGGCCATTTAGGTGACTTATGTTTCTGTAACCTCGAGGATGCTCTTTAGGAAGGTGCCCTACGTGAGAGTGAGTGACTTTGCTTATTCATGGGCCAGGTAAGATTTGTCGCCTCATCGGCCACACTGAGGGACTCTGGCCTGTGATGGGTCTTGTCCAGGTTTAAAGCCAACGTGCTTATTAAAAGGGTCCTGTTTACACGGTAATGAAGAACACCAGGAAGACAAAGAGATGACATTGCCAGGCCGCCACGCGCAAAGTTTAGATTCCATCCCCCCACTGTCATTATGTCCCGAACACAGGAAATAGCAATAAGACTAATGACAAAGTAAAGGGAGACAGGGGCAGCTCTTTGAGTGGCCCTTTAGTCAGTCACTCAGAATGGGAGAAACATTTCAGACCCTGAACAGACTATCTGTAAGGCTGGATTTCAACCACATGACTCTCGATGAGGCAAGACTTGCATTTGCATCTGCTGCTATATCCATCTTCGCTTCCCACTAATCCCAGCAGTAAGTCCACTCTCAGTGACGCTCATTCATTCATCCTTCTGGACTATTGGTGCATTTGCTTACACATGGTCACTTTTCTAGGGAACTGTGTTCCTTGAAAAATTGTATCATAAGACGGGAAATGTGTATGGAGAATGTGCAGTCATGTTTTTCTGCTGGGTGTGTTCATAATAACTGGAAATGTTTGTGTGAGAAAAGGCAGGAGAAATAAGAGTCCTTTGTTTTGGGATAGATAAACAGAGCGGAAAAGGGGAGGTAGCTAAAAGAAGGGGCCAGCTGGAAAATACAAAGGTTTTTACTTTACAAAATAGCTGACCCTGCTGCATACATATACACAGATAGAAAATTAGCTGTGATCCGATGCTGCTGTGGCTAGGGGACCGTGAATTCACAAAGTCCCGTTTCCACTTCAGTGGCTGGAGCAAGGGAGATCTGCTTCCATGGAGGTAGCAATGAGCAAGAAAATTCCCAGGGCCAAGTCACCTCAGAGGGAGGTTTTCTTTTTTTTCAATCTTCACCCAAGGACATTTTTTTCCCTATTTATCCTCAGATAGAGTGGGAGGGACGGAGAGAGAGGGAGAGAGAGAAACATTGATGTGAGAGGGACGCATCAACTGGTTACCTCCCGCACTACCCCGACCAGGGCCGGGGATGTACCGTAACCTAGGTACGTGCCCTTGACGGGAATTGAACCTGCGACTCATAGGTCTGCAGGCCAATGTTCTAACCACTGAGCCAAACAGGCCAGGGAAGAGGGAGGTTTTCTTAAGGAAGGATGGGGAAGAACTTAAACTATGGTCAAGTGGGTGTATAAGGGAGGAGGAGCCACAGGCTGTAAGAGAGTGGAAGGGGGAGACTGAAAGAAGGTATGTGTCATGGCCATCCCCACAGAAACTTAGATAAATGAACATTGTTTTAAGCTGCTACAATCGTAGTAGATTGTTATTCAGCAGTAAAACACCAATACAATGTGTTTCATGTCTGTCTCTTCCATTAGACTCTAAGATCTGTCTTGTACCATTGAATCACCAACATCCAACACAATGCCTGACCCATAGTTTATGCTCAATAAGTATGTGATGATTGATTGATGGATGGAAAAGGGGGTGATCAGAAGCCCAAGTTTGAACCCTCCCTTTTTTGGCTTATAGCCATATTTCTAATTTATTTATTTATTTATTTAGAGAGGGAGGGAGAGAGAGAGAGAAACATCAATTGGTTGTCTCCTACAAGCGTCCTACTGGGGATCGAGCCCGAAACCTGGGCATGTGTTCCTGACCAGGAATTGAACTGGAGACCTTTTGGTGCATAGGACTGTGCTCAACCAACTGAGCCAACCAGCCAGGGCACATATTTCTAATTATATACTTTAAAGAATGACTCATATTCTTATAAAAAAGGGACCATAACTGCTATATTATCTTTGGGGGAAATTAAGCATAAGGAATTTTGGCGTCTTGCTCTGCCCAGGCGGACAGAGAAGGATTTGTGATCTTTGTGCCTGGGACTGAGAGTGTAAGAAAGAGGAAACTGGACTGAAGAAGTCTAAATCTTTTTGCTGTCTTCTCAAGTTCGGGGGCAAAGATGAGTCTATATGCTCTAAGTTGTGGGCCAAGAGGAGCATGCAATAGCATTACAATGAGATTGTACTGCCAATTTCCAGAACTTGAAATGAGATATGTACTTGTTTTTTTTTAGCACCCTGAAGCGGGCCCTTGAAGTCTTCAAGCAGCGTAAGTGATTCTTTAAAAATGTATTTGCTGTCCTGGACAAAATCTGTCTGTCATCAAAGGTGGTTTTTCATTTGAACAGCAATCTCTTACTGGGTGAAAAAAAAAAAAAAAATGAAAGCAACTCCTAAGGTGAGAAATAGCTCTGCAGAGTTGAAGTGAGCTGGAGAACCCTCCACACTTACGTATCAGGTTGTACGTTTGACTTCCTTAGAGTAGTGGTTCTCACACTTGAAGTCCGGGTTGAGGCCCTGGCACTTTGGTCTTCAAGGGGTCCCATCCAGTTCTAATATTCCCCAGGGCTGTTACTCAGAAACTTCTTTTAAGGCTTTCTGTTCTTCAGAGTATTTGGTGCTTCCAAACTAAGGATTTTATCACATGCTTAAGTATGTACATGTGCTTAAAGTGTTTCTGTAGCCAGTTGATGGTTCTAGAGCTTTGTAAAGGTAAGGCAAACAAATACTCATCTTAACTTTTCCATAGAAGGTGTCCTCTTCCCTCTTTAACTCACCAATGAATACATTTCTCAAGTTATACACAGTATCTTCATATTTCTTACACGCACCATAAGGCCAACCCGTGGTGTAGCCCAAGGGGACTTCAGCGTAGGCTGGGTCTCCGAAGCATATGTATTTGTTGTTATTTTACTTGTTTTCTTTCTCCTAACAAGTAGCTTCATTTTCTTATTGAAAATATCTATTTATATGAAAATTCAAATGAGACAACTAACTGTGAAGAAGATAGTAAACACCCAAGTTTTCAGTTCTTAGTGCTATGCAGTTATTGGTGAATATGCCTCCAACTTTTTATGCAACACACAGTTATGTTTGTATTTATTCATATAAATAAATAGGATCATACCATGGCAGTGCGTCAGAATCTATGGAGTGGCACATGTTTTTAAAATTGCTTTTTAAATGAAAAATATAAATTTTTAATCATGCTAGCAATTTGAGCTCTGTCTTTCCGGGCTTTTTCCGTGCATTTACAACTCTTAGTCTCTCTCTCTAATTACACACACATATGTACAGGCATACATGAGATTATACTATGCATATTTCTCTATAATGTAGTTTTTTTAGTTAACAGTAAAGCATAGACACCTTTCCATTTCAGTTCATATGGATCTGACTCATTCTTCTACATTGATTTTTTTTTTGATCCTACAATATGTAAAATTTCTTCTAGAAAGGTTGTATTGATTTTCCCCCACCAACAGTGCTGTTCTTCCCCACATTCACCAATACCACACATTTTTATGCTTAAAATTTTTGCCACCCTGAAAGGTAAAAAATCATCTGTTTCTATTATATCTATATATAATAGAATTATTTATATAATTGTTTTTTAAATCCTTTACTCAAGGATATGTTTTTATTGATTTTAGGGAGAGAGGAAGGGAGAGGGAGGAAGAGAAACATCGATGTGAGAGAGAAACATCGATGTGAGAGAGAAATATCAATTGGTTGTCTCCCACACGTGCCCCAACTGGGGATTAAACCCGCAAACCTTTGGTGCACAGTTTGCTGCTCCCACCCACTAAGCCATACCAGCCAGGGCTGGTTTTATGTTTTAAATTTTTGCATTTTTGTGTTAAGGCTGAATATATTTTCAAATGTTTATAGGCCATTGAGGTGATTTTTTTTTTTTTTTTTTTTTTTACATTTTATGTTCTTTAACCAACTTTTTATAGTGGAATATATATATCTTTTGATTTGTGAAAACTTTTAATATAGTTATTTACTTTTTGTTATATAAATTGCAAACATTTTTCTCGTTTGTCATGTATCTTCTAACCTTGTTCAAGTTATCTTGACACACACACATTTAAAATGTTTTTAGATCAGATCTGTTAGTCTTTCTAGCTTACATGCTTAAATTTGTTTTTATTGAACAAGATGAAAACTTTAGATTTTTTATTATAGAGGTAAGCCATGCTCATTGCAAAGGTTTTAGATACTAAGGGGGGAAATCAACAATAATCTTTCTCTTCAGAGATAACTCTTGATAGCCAAAATTGGTGTATGACTTTCTTAAAAGTGCTTAGGCACATGAGATGTTAGAATCCTTTTAGGGTTCACACACTGAGAAATAAGTATCAAATTTGGAATCGTAGTGGATTTAGTAATGTCTGTTAGCATGTAAGCCAACAAGCTTCTCCCTGGCCCTGTACACACAGTAGGTTAGTAATAGTTGTAGGAGGATAAGCTAAAGACCTGCTACCCTTGGTCTTGGTGGCTAGGGCAATGCTGGGCACATGGATGGGCTAAATAAATGTTGATGACCAAGTGCAGTCAGTTAATTTAGCCACTTACTCCAGTATTTTGTATATAATTTAAAACTGTGTACAGTTTTGTATATTTGATTTCAGACATATGTATATCTTGTTTATTGTTTTTTAAAATTCTTTTTGCAGAAGTAGACAATGTGGCACAATGTCACATTCAGCTTGCACAGACCCTAAGAGAAGAGGCCAGGAAGATAGAAGAATTCAGGGAAAAGCAAAAGCTACAACGGAAAAAGGTTTGCATACATGTTAAGATGTTGCCTTTCTGATGGCAGAATACTCCGGGTTTGCTTGGCCAGTAAACTCCTTGGCTTGGCTCCCAACCTCATGCAACCACGTTCCTCTTTTAACCAATGAGATTATTTACTGGCCACCATATGGAGACTCACGATTCTGTACCCACTTATCCCCCAGGTCAGTTCTTTTTTAAAAATTTTGCCAGATTCAGAAGTCCAGCCTGCTTTCCTCTTCTTTTCATATCTGCTGCTACTATTTAAACTCTGACTGGAAAAGGGAACCCTTTTTCCTCAGTAGAGTATAGCATGTCCAAGCTGGCGGGCTTCTGGACCACATTGCTCCTCCTGGACAAGGCAGTAAGGGGAGGCTAAGAAGTGGAGGAGACTTTCCCTGGCCGGTTTGCTAAGTGGTTAGAGCATCCACCTGCGGTCCCGAGAGACCCGGGTTCAGTTCCCGCTAAGGGCATGTACCTCGGTTGCAGTTTGTCCCCGGCCCTGGTTGGTCGTGTGGGTGGCGGCCACTCGATGTGTCCTTTTCACGTCAATGTTTCTCTCTCTCTCTCTGTTCCTCTCTCTCCCTCCCACTCTACCTGAACAAAAAATGGAAAAATGTCCTCGGGTGAGGATAAAAATAAAAAAGAAGAAGTGGAGGAGACTCATAGTCTCTTTGGAGACCATCATGTAGTCCAACTTCCCTGTTTTACAAATAGGGTAACTGAGGCCCTGGGAAATCCAAGTTCTTGTCTTCAAAGCAGATGTGTATAAGCTCTTTTTCACTGGTGGGATTTACTCTGGCCAACTACATGCAAGGAGACGGGAGTGAGCAAGTTATTAAACTGGCAAATATTTGGGAAGTAATAAGGATCAAGTGTTACTAAGACTAGACCAGCCACTATTCTGACTGCCTGCTTTCTTGTTCCTAAGAGGCTTGTATATTCGGGTTGGCCTGGCAGCCAAGTAGGGCCCTTCCAGAAGTTTGAAAAAATATCTGGTTTCCAAGGCTGGAACCTAGCTTCACGTGGAGGGCAAGCTCTCCCCTATCTGGCATCCAGAGGGTTCCATTCAGGTCTCCACATTCAGGTCTCCACAGACATCTCTGAGTGGACTTTTTGGGAAACCTTTCTTCATCCGACTCTACTAAGGTCATTGTCTGTAGTGTGTGTATTCAATAGACAGCCAGTTGTTCAGGTTGATGCTACCCATGCTTCAATCTTAGCAACTTTGCCTGTGGTTCTGAGTCAGTCTATTCCAGCTTCCTTGGTGGCCAGTTGGCATTGGGATAGGGTGGCAGCATCCTGAGAACCTGACTGCCTTACCTGTATTGTCATTTCACAAGAAGCTCTTACAGCTGTGCCTCTACTAGGGAGGAAGGCTGGAAATTGACATTTAAGAAACACTGTATCCAGCACTTTCACACAAATTCAAGCTTCATGCACCAGGTCTGAAGGGGTCCATCTGGCCCAAAGTATTTTTCTTCTTTTTTTTTTTTATCCTCACTCGAGGACATTTTTCCATATTTTGTTCAGATAAAGTGGGAGGGAGCGAGGGAGGGAGAGAGAGAGAAAGAGAGAGAGAGAGAAAGAGAGAGAGAGAAAGAGAAACATCCATGTGAAAGGGACACATTGAGTGGTTGCCACCCGCACAACCCAACCAGGGCCGGGGACAAACTGCAACCAAGTTACATGCCCTTAGTGGGAACTGAACCCGGGTCTCCCTGGACCGCAGGCCGACGCTCTAACCGCTGAGCCAAACTGGCCAGGGCTGGCCCAAAGTATTTTTACAGAGCAGAAATAATATGTATATTACACCCAACTTTTGGATAGTCAAACTTTTCTGGCTGATATTGCCAGCCCTGCCCACCTCTTTAGGGGAATTATGAATTTTGAGAAGCAAAATGCCTTAGACAACCAAGGTCTGTGCACACACTAAGAGGAGAGGAGGGTCATTTCCTCACGTCTTTAAGTGCCCACGATAGCCCTAGTCATTTCAGAGAAAGTTTTGTTGATTTTGCAAGGCTTCTGAAACTTCCCCTCCTAACAAGTTCCGAAGAGAAAATTCTCAGAGCTAGAGGACTGTGCTCTGAAGTCTGTTAGGCAATAGAGCAGCTGGTGCTCAATCCACCGCTGTCATCCAAGTTCCTACACACCCTAGGCGGTGCGCTCTGTACGGCAGGACAGTGCCTTCCCAGCTTTCTGGGAGAGGTTCACAGTTTATGAGTTTACATTTGTAATTGATTATGTCACAATAAACTCTAGGTTGTAGCACTTCCATACATAGATTTTTTTTTTTTAATTCAAACTTTGGGGGAAAATGTGTCAGTGTTAACTTCTCATTTCTACTGGTCACTTTGGTTTTTCACTTCTTGGAAACGAAGCCATTTCCACTTATCAAGGAAAGCCGTCAGTTGCTTTCTCTCAGCCCATGGGACGATGCTCAATCCACTGAGCCACACTGGCCGGGTGTAGGTGGTTTCTTTAATTAAACTGGGGCAGGGAGGTGAGTATAGAAGTGGACAGAGGTATATAGAGTACTCACTTATACAGCTCTCCAAGGGTGGTGAACAATATGGACATGGTCTTCTTTCTCTCACTGAGTGCAGAGCATGGCCAGAGATACTGATGTGACATAGTAATCATGATGAAGTGTGATGAGCCTTAAATGGTAGGGGATGTCAAAATGCCGCCTGAACATGCAGTGGGGACAACTAAGCTAATCGAAGGGGCTGGGGAGGCCTCCTGGAGGAAGTGATTTTGAAGCTAAAACCAGCAGAGTGAAAGGCAATGTAGGTGAGATGAGGCTCTCGCTCCTGGTGGTTGGCAGGTAGGGAGGGGTCTTAGGAGCTATTCCCAGGAGTCTTGATGTATTAAGGTACTGAGGTTCCTTCCCCATCCCAGAATGTCCTAACCCTGACAGAGCACATGGTCATTACTTTCTCCTCTGGTACCCACATGGTTTTACCATCTTAGCTAAGATTATGTAGAGAGCAATCTCCAAAGAAAGGAATCTCCTTGGTTACAGAAAATGATGCTTCCAATTTTCAGAATACAGTCTGAGTAGAATAGATAGACAAGCAGATCACTGAGCAGCTATAATTTCTATAATCAGGGCAGGATCATTTGGGTCATTTATAAATCTCTTCTTCATTTTCTCCTCCCTCTTACTTCTCTTCACCCTATAGTAGGGCTGATTGTGTTTTCGCACTACTTTGTGCTATCGATAACAAAACAACCAAATTTCCAGTGAATTTGTTCTGAGCAGAAAGTCTGAGTCCTAAAAGAAGCACTTCCCCAAGGAGATCTGAAAGAGAACCCTTGACTTACTGGGGCCACCATGAGTAGGGTCAGCCTATAAGTGAACCATAGACATGAGGAGACTTAAATCAAGGTCCTGTAGCAGATGGAGTGGGACTTGGTGTTACTGAGTGGCCTTGAGCAAAGGTCACCAATGAGGTACCCTCTGGGGCCCCTGGGGTTTTATACCTGTCAGGTGAGAGAGTAGGATTGCTGCTCTCTAGGAACCTGCTGTGTACAAAAGCCAGGCATCCTTGCTGGCAGAGAGAGGAATGGTGAAGTGAAAGGTTTGGCGCAGAACTTTGTAGGCATCTGAGAGGTGCTTGAAGCAGGTGTTACGTAGAACTCAGGGATAAAGAGGCCTGGCTTGGGTCATAAACTATGAAATAGTCACAGCTCTCAAACTAGAAGAATGGCAGTGTATATATTTGGACTAGAAAGGACCATGGAATAGATCAGCATTGCTAATTGATCTGCTCCTTGGAGCCTGGGAAAATCAGGAACCATTATTAAATAAATAAACCCAGCTCCTCCTCTTGGCAAAGGTACATAGGGGCTCATGTGAACCAACAGCTCCATGCCTGCAATGGCAAGTCCTTCCATGTAGGGATCATGTTGGAGCCCTGACCTCTATGTCTATTGTATTTTCACCATTGGCAGGTGCATGGCTACTCCTGGTCCTGCCCTTTCTGCTGGGCTGGAAGGAAGATGACGCCTCAGTTCTCTGAGGGCCTCTTGGGGTTCCCCCAAGGGAAGTTCATATATTCTACAAAGCTCATATTTGAAGTGATGATGGGATGCCAAATATTCTATCCAGATATCTTGAAAGTTTATATTTGTATGTTATGGTAACAGAAACTTAATTTTCCAGAAAAGAAACCAAATTTGAGTTTCATTTTTAATATTGTTTTGCATTATATCATTTTGCACAAAAGCAATGTCATAGCTCATTTTGAGTGCTTGCATCTCTTGGTCTTCTATGTACCTACCCATTTGCTTTTATAGAGCTATCATAGGGATAAGGGTAGTTTATGGTCATGATTAGGAACAAGGGTACAAGAGTCAGGTTCCTGGGCTCAACTCTCAAGTCTACTACTTGCTGAGTGTTACCTTTAGTAAATTAATCCTCCTCAATTTGCTGTCAAGAAAATGGGATTGAGAGTACTGGGTTGTTGTGATGTATGAAAACTGCTTAGCACATAATAATGCTTGATAAATGGGAGCTACTCTTATGTCTGAGCTACATTTTATTATTAGCTGTATTACTTGACTAATAAATGTATTAATATCCCAGCCACAGCAAAGAAATAGCTTCCAAGTGAACTCAACAGAGTAGTTTACCTTTCCTGGATTAGATGGAGTGAAGGGTGAGAGAAGAGCTGCTTTTAACTGTCCAGAAACATTTCTCCTCTTCATCCTGCCCTGGCTCCTTGCTGGTTAAGGGTGTGTAATTGATGGACTCCATGGAAGTGAATGTTCATAAGTTTCTAATTTAACTGTGCTGACACAAGCTTATGGAAAAAATATCCCTTTAAAAATATAAATGGCATATTAACAAAAGTTTAAAAAGCCCTTTTTGATACCAAAGTTCCTTGATTCCAGATTTGTTGAAGAGACTATTCTAAGGTGATCAGTGATTCTCAGTGGTGGCTGTCCGAGTTCAAAGATGGACCCCCTCCATTAACCAGCCGTAGAACCTTGGGCAGATTGTTCAACCTCTTTGCTGCAGTTTCCTCATTTGTGATATGGGAATAATAAATAGTACATCTACCTGCTGGGTTGTGTGAAGACTCAGTAAGATAATCCATCTTGAACACTTAGCCTTCAAGATAAGATGGTAGTAACAGTAATTTCTATTTTATTATTAATAGTGCATATGTTCTCTTCACAGACAGAGCTTATAATGGATGCTGTCCACAAACAAAGGAGCTTGCAATTCAAGAAAACTATGGATGTAAGTTTCACTTTATTGCCTTTTTCTGAAATCTTGTGCTATGTATGAGAATATTCCTACTCAAATAATATTTCAATAATGTTATTTATTAATGCAGTGATTTATTTTATTTTTTTTTTAGTGTTTTGACTTTCCTTCTTTTTAAGGCCTTGGAAATATTGAGAATGAAACTAGATAGTAGGAACACTATTATCTTTCTGGTAACCTGGGAAAGGATAGAAAGTTAATTTAAATATTTCAGGCCAAGCTCTGGCTGGTTTGGCTCAGCTGCTAGAGTGTCAGTCTGGAGACCAAAGAGTCTTGGGTTCCATTCTGGTCGAGGGCATGCACCTGGGTTGTAGGTTCAATCCCTGGCCTTGGTTGGGGTCATGAGGGAGGCAACCAATCAATGTGTCTCTCTCACATCGATGTTTGTATGTCTTTCTCCCTCACACTCTATCTGAAGATAAATGGAAAAGTATCCTCAGGTGAGGATTTAAAAATCAATAAATATTTTAGGCCAAGACACAAAATTATATATACCGTATGATCCCATTTATCTTGTTGGGTTTGAGCTTTCCCCTGTGACTATTCTGAATCTTGATTTCTTAACTCATTTTATTTTCTTTTAAAACGTATCTTTATTGTTGAATGTATTAGATGTCCCGCCTGTTCCCCCCATTGACCTCCCTCCTCTACAATCCCGCCCACACTATTGTCTGTGTCCATTGTTTATGCATATATGCATATAAGTTATTTGGTTTATCTCTTCCTGCCCTTCCTACCCCATTCCCTCTGAGATTCATCAGTCTAACAACCAATTTGTTGTTGTTGTTGTTGTTGTTGTTGTTGTTGTTGTTGTTCTTCTTCTTCTTCTTCTTCTTCTTCTTCTTTTTGTTCAGATAGAGTGGGAGGGGGAAAGAGGAAGAGAGAGAGAGAGAGAAACATTGATTGAAAGGTACACATTGAGTGGCCGCCACCCACACAACCCAACCAGGGCCAGGGACAAACTAAAACCGAGGTATGTGCCCTTAATGGGAACTGAACCCCAATCTCTCTGGACCGCAAGCCGATGCTCTAACTGCTGAACCAAACCAGCCAGGGCCAATTTGTACTTCTTAATTCCTTTATCTTTTTCACCCATGCCCCCAGCCCACTCCCATCTGGCAAGCAACAAAAAATTCTCTGTATCTGTGAGTCTATTTCTGTTCTGCTTGCTCATTTTGTTTGTAGATTTAATTATTGATAAATGTGCATTTATTGCCATTTTATTGTTCATATTTTTGATCTTCTTTTTCAAGAAGACCCTTCAACATTTCATATAATACTAGTTTGGTGGTGATGAACTCTTTTAGCTTTTTCTTGTCTGGGAAACTCTTTTTATGTCCATGGAGTCTAAATGATAGCTTTGCAGGATAGAGTAATCTTGGTTATAGGTTGTTGCTTTTCATCACTTTGAATATCTCTTGCCACTCCTTTCTGTCCTGCAAAGTTTCTTTTGAGAAATTGACTGACGGTCTTATGGGAGCTCCTTTGTAGGTAACAAACTGCTTTTCTCTTGCGGCTTTTAAGATTCTCTCTTTGTCTTTAACTTTGGCATTTTGATAATGATGTGACTTGGTGTGGACCTCTTTGGGTTCATCTTGTTTGAGACTCTGTGCTCCCTGGACTTGTATGTCTGTTTCCTCCGCCAAGTTAGGGAAGTTGTCTGTCATTATTTTTTCAAATAGGTTTTCAATTTCTTGCTCTTTATTTTCTCCTTATGGCAACCCCATGATGCGAATGTTGGCACGCTTGAAGTTGTCCCAGAGGTTCCTTACACTATCCTCATTTTTTAAAAATTCTTTTTTCTTTTTGCTGTTCTGATTGGGCATTTTTTGCTTCCTTATATTCCAAATTGATGGTTTGCTTCTTGGCTTCACCTACTCTACTATTGATTCCCTGTATATTATTCTTTATTTCAGTTAGTGCCTCCTTCATTTCTTCCTGGTCCTTTTATATGTTGCTTATGTTCTCACTGAGTTTCTTGGAGTTGGGTGGGCAGGGCCTCAGGGAATCACCAGGGCAGGGCAAACAGTGTGAGCCAGGTTGCTGGAGTCCCAGATATGGTGGCCGTCCACTCTCCATGACCAAATTTGGAAAGAAGTTTTGAAAATTATTTCTTTGGGTTCTTTTTCAGCCCACCCTCCTTCTCTTCTAGGATTCTAAGAATGTGAATGTTAGATCTTTTTTTTAAAAAAAAAAAATAATGCCAATGTCTCTGTGTCTGTTCATTTTTTTCCACCTATTTTGTCTTTGGTGATCAGATTAGGTAATTTATATTGTTTTATCTTCCAGCTCACCAATTACTTCTGTGTCTTCCATTCTTTTCTTAAGCCCATCCATTGAGGGTTTTTTAATTTATTATATTTTTCAATTCTAAAATTTCCATTTGGTTCTATATATCTTCTGTTTCTTTGCTGAGATTTTCTATTTCTTTGACAAGACACAGTATTTTCATTTGTTTCAAGTGTGTTTGTAATTCCTCATTGAATATTTTAATGATGGCTGCTTTAAAATCTGTCATGGAATTCTAACATCTCTGTCTTGTTGATGTTGGTATCTATTGATGGTCTTTTTCATCCACTTTGAGATCTTCCTGGCTCTTGGTATGATGAGTGATAGTCAATTGATTTAGGAAATTTAGGTGTTGTTAGAAGACTCTGGATCTTATTTAAACCTTCTGTTTTAGCTGGCTTCCTTTAATACCAATCTGCCAGGAGGAGGTGAAGCACTGCCTCATAATTGCTCTATGGAAGTAAAACTTCAGGTTACCCCCTTAGTCTCTGCTGACACCACAAGGTAGATGTGGCCTTGTTACTGCTGGAAAGTGGTTAATGTTCTGACTCTCCACTAGACCTCCCCTGATACCACCCCAGCAGGGAGGTTGCACCTCATTATTGCCAGGTAGGGGTGGAAGTCCAGGTCCCCCACATGGTTTCCATTGGCACTGCACATGGGGCTTTGTTACATACTGGTGGGAATGAAAGTCTCTGTTCCCTGTATGGCCCTCTCTGACGCCACCTGGACATGGGAGTTGAGCACCTCATTACAGCTTGGTGAGGATGGGGGTCTGGGTTCCCCACTTTGCCTTTGCTGTATGTGTGGGGGTAGGGTCACAGTTTTTTATGTAATGTTTGGCTGAATTAGAATGGCTATTTTCTAAAGATTTCGGTCCTGATAGGCTGTCCCTTTTCTGGTTTTTAGCTAGGTTTTGTTGGGACTTTTTTTTTTTGGTCAGTGTCCATCGGCATTTCTTGGTTGCGTGCTTCTTTGGCATTCAGCCTTTGATATATGAGGGAAAAGGAACACCCAGGGAACTCATTCCTATGTTGCTCTTCTGAGACCAAGGTTATTAGCCTGTCTGCCTTCTTCTCTCTACCTTTCAGAGTCTTTTCTTTTATACATAATGTCCAGGGTTATAAATTGTACTTGTTTTCTCCCTTTCCCAGACTCCCACATAACCCTTTAAAAGAATATTTTATGATATGTTTCAGAGCCATAAATATGATCATATCTCATTAAACTTATGCTAAGAATATAAGGCTCTATTTTTAGGAAATAATCAAAAACAAGACAAAAAAAGACATGAACTTGTTCACTACTTATAAAGAAAATTGTAAATTGTTTAGAGACCAAAATATCGAGAAAGGTTAAATAAATTGTGTAACCTTTAAAAGTATGATTATGAGCACTATGTAGAAAAAATGCTTAATATATCATATTAAAAATAGTGCAGATAGAGAAAGATTGATCACTAACAACATTAACATTGAAGACTTCTTTGGAACAAAGGTAAAAATATAGCATCTTATACATGGTTTGAAGACAGATGACTAATGAGAAATATTTTTGTAACATGTATAATGTACAGCCAGTTAGTATTCCTAATCTAGACCAAACTCTTTAAAACTTATTTATTTATTTATTGATGAGAGAGAGAGATTGATTTGTCGTTCTACTTATTTATGCACTTATTGGTTGCCTCTTGAATGTGCCCTGACCAGAGATGGAACCTGCAACCTTGGTGTATTGGGATAATGCTCTAACCAACTGAGCTACCCAGCCAGGGCTAGCCTGAGCTAGACCAATTAAAATAAAGAATGTTCTAATAGAAAAGTAGATAAAAGACATGACGTGGAAAGGACATACCACTTTCGTAGTAATGAAATAAATACAAATAAAACAACAATATGTAACATTCTTACCTCTCGTCTAAACTTGGTGTTGGTGAGAATGCAGGAAGCAGGTGCTCTCATATCCTTTTGGTAGGAGTCTAGATTGGTGCAGCTATTTTGGAGGGAAGTCTGATGTGTATATACTATTTTACCAAATAATTACACTAATAGGATTTCAGTCCATATGGATAAATCACACTACTCAAAATAAAGTCAGAGTATTTTTATGTTATAGAAATGGAAAATAAGATAAATGTCCACCATAGAGTTGGTTAAGAAAATTATGGCATGTGTATGTATTTACTGCTATTAAAAATGTTCAGCTATAGAGACCTTGCTTGATTACAGCAAAATGTCTATAACATATTGTTCCAAAAAAAAAAAAAAAAAAGAATTGTTGCATGCATATCTTATGTGCTTGTGATAATGAAGTTATGAACTTTTATTTCTAAGTGTGTATAGCATAGAGAGAATTGTAAGGTTGTTTACTGAAAGATTAACTCCAACTGAATTGGAAAGGATACTGAGAAATTTAGGGAAGCATATGAAATATTTACTGAGCACAAAGCATCTCTGCAAGAGAGTCTTCATTCTTAGTCAATCATTTTTCTGGGCCACCATTTTTATTTATTAGCTAACTGAATCACACCTTTCCTTTGTTTAAACAAGTTAAAACTTTGCTTTAACAGTTGAAACAGAAAGTTATTTGATTCACTACCTATGGTTTGTGAACAGTTTCCATACTACTGGCCTATTTTTAGATGAGCTCAAACAGAATTCTTTATTTTATTTTATATTTTATTTTTTTAAATTTATTTATTTATTTATTTTTTTCCTCACCCGAGGACATTTTGTTCAGGTAGAGTGGGAGGGAGAGAGAGGAACGGAGAGAGAGAGAAACATCGATGTGAAAGGGACACATCGAGTGGCTGCCACCCGCACAACCGACCAGGGCCAGGGACAAACTGCAACCGAGGTACGTGCCCTTAGCGGGAACCGAACCCGGGTCTCTCAGGACCGCAGGCCAACGCTCTTACCGCTGAGCCAAACTGGCCAGGGCCCAAACAGAATTCTTTAAATCAAAAAGGAACATGACCACCCTTAAGCAACAGAAATGATGGGAATGATGCCACCGTCTACGGCAATGGTGAGGCACATCAGAATATTGAAGCATAATTATAATTACCGTCACCAAGTGAATGCACCTCAATTCTGAGGATTATGATTGTCGTGTAAATGTTGGATTACTTATTTTATAGTTACATAGCATAGGTCTTTTGATTTTCCCCATCTGAAATGCCATCTTTTGGTCTGGTCTGTTTGTTTGTTTTTTTATCCTCACCGGAGGACAAAATGCATTTATCTTCAGATAGAGTGGGAGGGAGAGAGGGGGGAAGAGAGAGAGGGAAACATTGATGTGAGAGAGACACATCGACCGGCTGCTACCCACACGACCCCAACCGGGGCCGAGGATAAACTGCAACCAAGGTAAGTGCCCCCGGGACTCTCCGGTTCACGGGCCAACGCTATAACCGCTGAGCCAAACTGGCCAGGGCTGGTCTGGTCGGTTTTTTTTTTTTTTTTAATCCTCACCCAAGGACATTTTTCCATTTTTTGTTCAGTTAGATAGAGTGGGAGGTAGAGAGAGGAAGAGAGAGAGAGAGAGAGAGAGAGAGACATCGATGTGGCTGCCACCCGCACGACCAACCAGGGCCAGGGACAAACTGCAACCGAGGTACGCGCCCTTAGTGGGAACCGAACCTGGGTCTCTCTGGACCACAGGCCGATGCTCTAACCGCTGAGCCAAACTGGCCAGGGCTGTTCTGGTCCGTTTTTTTTTTGTTTTTTTTTTATCCTCACCCAAGGGCATTTTTCCATTTTCTGTTCAGGTAGAGTGGGAGGGAGAGAGAGGAACAGAGAGAGAGAGAGAGAAACATCGACGTGAAAGGAACACATCGAGTGGCTGCCACCCGCACGACCGACCAGGGCCGGGGACAAACCGCAACCGAGCTACGTGCCCTTAGCGGGAACCGAACCCAGGTCTCTCCGGACCGCAGGCCGACGCTCTAACCGCTGAGCCAAACCGGCCAGGGCTGTTCTGGTCCGTTTTTAAAGCTCATGTACTTTGTTTGCCAGATAGGAGTTATTTCCTTGATCAGGTTGCCACTACATACATAATTTGGAAAAGACTAGAGAGAGCTTCCAAAAATAAATAACAAAGAGCATCTACCATCTTCTGAGTGGCCACACTCTAGTGGTGATCACAGCCCTGTTCAGGGTACCCTGTTTTTTGCTGGGCTTGGCAGGCTAGGACGGCTGCTTTTCAGGGTTATGTTCTGCTTACTTATTTTGGTCCTCTTTTGGCTCATAACAACCAAGGCAAAGAAGATCTATGAGCAGAAATGCCGAGACAAAGATGATGCAGAGCAGGCTGTCCACCGAAATGCCAACTTGGTAAACCCGAAGCAACAAGAAAAGGTACCTGGGAGGGCTGACCCACCTGAAAAATCTGAGATTTACTGTATCAAGCTAAAGCACATTAATAATCTTACTTAAAAGTGGACCTGCTCCCTAAGCATCTGGCAATATTTTCCTTTAGGCTATTGGGATCCTCTGAACCAGAAAAACCCTTCACATTTTTGGGGTTGTGGAAGAGCTAGAGAAAGGAGGACAGTGGGGGAGAGAGTGGGGTGATAAGTGGGGGAGGGTTTCTGATTTTTTTAATCTTTCTTCAACTCTCTACTCAAGCATTCTTTGTAGCCAGGCTGCCTCATGCTTGGGTGTATTACAAATTTAATTTTATAAAATCTGGACATAACATTGTCAGCAACCAAGGGGCAGGAGTATGTCTTTGGGAAGATGTAGGGCAAGATTCTTGATGGATATTTTCCAATGGCGAAAGATTAGAGTGCAAGTTGAGTGATTTGCTCATGAGAGAAACATAGGTAAGACTTGTACTTGCACTTGTCTCTTTACAGTCATTGCTTTTAGATCTGTTTTGCTTACAGAATCCTGGCCCAGCATTCCTGATCCCGTGTGTGTGTGTGTGTGTGTGTGTGTGTGTGTGTGTGTGTGTGTGTGTTTTGTTTTGTTTTTCATCCTCACAGCTTTTTGTGAAACTGGCAACTTCAAAGACAGCCGCAGAGGACTCTGGTAAGGGGGCTCCCAGGAATGGGGAAGGATTGTGGTGGAGTTTACATGATCCTAAGTCTGCCTGAGAAAGGAGTTTGATATACCTTACAATGAAGAACATATGGATATACAGTAGGCTTCAGAAGGGAGAAACAGGGAGGAAGGGAGGAAAGGAAGAGGGAGGGAAGGAACTGAGGAAAGAAATGAAGCAGCACTTTCTGGCCCGCTTGGTCTGGCTGTTGTACAGGTAATAGAATGGGGATGGTAGGGTCACATGGCAGCTGCTTTGTGATCAGGGGCTCACTCCGATTTTTTTGGAACATCTATTTTAAAAGCCCATTTCAGCCCCGATTAACTCTTACTTGCTATGAAAGAAAGAGCCTATTTGCAAAACCTTGTCATCATTGAAATTGAACATCCAAACCAGATGTTTGCAAAGGCTTTTAATTCCCAGAGTATCCTGCAGGAAATAAACCTCTCATGACCATAGTCACTTAAGAAGTCTCTACACCCAAAAGTAACGTAACTTGGTGCCATTTAGGGTTCAAGGTAGTTCTCTGCATCTCTCATTGGATTATTTTCCTGAAAATGAAAAGGGATGGAAGCTCTGGCTGAGGTTCCTTATCTGCTTTCACTTCTTCCTTGGATCATTTCTTGCTAATTGCTTGGTTCAGTGCTTATTCCACAAAGATATTACCCAACGTTCAGACTTCCGCGGAGCTTTGTGAGCTCACTCCAAGTTTCATTTGCCGTCTGGGTTGAGCCTGAGGGGTGGTGGGTCTGCTGAGTGTCCCCCCTGTCCCAGTTCTGAACCCACAACCCTCCCCTTCTTTGCAGACAAGGCATACATGCTGCACATCAACACGCTGGATAAGGTCCGAGAAGAGTGGCAGAGCGAGCACATCAAGGCCTGCGAGGTAGCTGGAACCAGAAGCTGCTCGTCAGAGTGCGGCACATCCTCCTAGACCTTGCAGAGTTTTGTCGGAATGCGTCACCCGTTTGTTGTACCTCCCATTTCTGATAGAATTGCTCGAGGGCAGACTAGAAATCACAAATTTAGGTGGAGGATGGAAGGAACTGTAATGTTTTCCCCTGAACCTCATCTTTCTGTCTCCTCCCTACCCTGAGCGTGCTAACTCTGTTCAAGGCCTTCCTCTAGTGTTTGGTTAGCACAGGCATGGAACAGACGAATCAACCCATGGTTAATTAAGTAATTACTTAGCCTCAAATGCGCTTGGTATGTGATAAGGACAATGCAGACAGCAGGTGAGCAGGCTTTAGAATATTGTGCCCTCCTTTCACCTTTGATTTCACCATTGCCCCCCCCTTTATTTTCCGCACATTATGTCACATACAATTCCCCAGAGAAAATAAGACATGCCCTGGAAGCTTCCTCAATTTTCTGTTACCCTCTCTACACATTTTCTTACCCGTGGTTCTAAAAGCGAGGTCCCAAGACCTGTAGCATTAGCATCACCTGGGGACTTGTTAGACATTCCTGTTCTCAGAACAACTCCAGACCTACTAAATCAGAAACTCTGAAAGTGAGCCCAGTGACCTCTGTGTTGAGAAGTCCTCCAGGTGATACCAATGCGAATTCAAGCTTGAGAAATACTGACCTACACACACTCCTCCCCTCCTCTTCTCCTGATGCAGTGCGGAAGGTGCTGCTCCTGTCCTCTCAAGAGCTCCTCCTGCCACTTGGCTCAGGATCCCATCCAGCTGCCTTTCCCCATTGCCGTGCGCACAGCTCCCTTTAGTGGGGATTTCTTCCATTATCATTTACACACACTCAGCTCATTCCTGGCTTTAACACCTAGCAGCTACTGCTTCCTGTCTGCTGCCCTCTTCTCTCTTTATGGCCAGGCTTCTTGAAGGAGCTGCCTCCACATCCTCATTGCCCTGCCTGTCCCAGCCTGCGGTGTCTGGGTTTTGCTCTCCTGCCCCCTGCCCTGCTGTCTAAGAGGAACCAGCGATCCCCTTGGTGTGAGGCCCAGCGGACCTTTGCAGTTTCTAATCTTATTTGAGCTGTCATTACCATCTAATACTGTGGGTCACTATCCCCCCTCTAGAACACTTTTTGCTTTACTTCACTAACTCCACACACTCATGGAAAAGCCTGGAGCAAAGCCGTTTTTATAAGGTTTAAGAACATGTAAAACAACATGATATATATCTTATGGATACATACATATTATAAAAACCTGCATAGAGCCCTGGCCTGTTTGGCTCAGCGGTTAGAGCGTTGGCCTGCAGTCCGGAGAGACCCAGGTTTGGTTCCCACTAAGGGCACGTGCCTTGGTTGTGGTTTGTCCCCGGCCCTGATTGGTCGTGCGGGTGGCAGCCACTTGATGTGTCCCTTTCACGTCGATGTTTCTCTCTCTCTCTTCCTATCTCTCCCTCCCACTCTATCTGAACAAAAAGTGGGAAAATGTCCTCGTGTGAGGATAAAAAATAAAAATAAAACCTGCATAGAAATGATAAAATTTAGAATAATGGTTATCTCTGGGGAAGGAGGAGGGTGACAGAGATTAGGAAAAGCACACAGGAGTTTTGACAGAATCTGAAGTAAATTTGGCCAAAATTTTTAACAGAGCTAGTTGGTAGGTATATGGGAATTTATCATACTATTCTCTCTACTCTTGTATATGTTTTAAATTTAACATTATAAAAAGTTTAAAAATGTAATACTGTCGTATTCAACATTAGAAAAATACATTAATATATAACCTTCACTGTAGGGTAGCATCTACTTTATGGAATAGTTTGATTTTCCAAAAGTCGATATTTGTTTATATTTTTTAAAAAATTGTTGTTCAGGCAACAACTTAAAAAACAACTTTTTATTGAGAAAAATTTCAGACGTTCACAAAGATTAGAAGACTAATGCAAGGACCTCCATGTACTCATCAACTAACATCAACAATTATGACCACTTGCCAATTGAATTCATGAATTGGGGTGTGTGGGGGAGGGGCAAGGTTTTGAATCTGAGGCTCTGGCTGGCTGCCTAGGTGGAGATTCCCCTTAGGCAGCTGGAAATGTGAGCTGCAATTCAGGTTAGAACCTGGGTGTCTGGGTTCATCATACCTCTTACCTTCAGAGTGATACCCATTTATAATTATATCTGTTTGCGTTGATACCTTATTAGAGTCCATTTGCACTCTCTGCCTGCTGTAAGACTTTATGAGCTCCTTGATGGTGAGGGGAGTACCCTAAATGGACAATAAGCTTGCATAATTGAGGGGTGACACTGTCTCTTAAGTCATAGACAGTCTAGACAAAGTTCTCTTTATCTGCATATATATTTACATGTGGTTATATTTCTGCAGGTGTTTGAAGCTCAAGAATATGAACGAATAAACTTCTTTCGGAACGCACTGTGGTTACACGTGAACCAGCTGTCAAAACAGTGTGTCACCAGCGATGAGGTAAGTCAGAGGCATCCATTAGAGTGGAAGGAACTGTAGACATTTATTAGTTCACCCCTTTCATTTCAGGCCCAGAAAGGTACAGTGACTTGCCCAGGGTCTCACAGTTGGTTGATAGAAAGACCCAGATAAAGCACCTAATTTGCCTGACTCCTGGTCTATTTTACTGCCATGACTTTCTCTTTAAGAAATTCAGAGCAGGAGGGCAGAGAATGGAGACCCAAATACAGTTTAATTTATGGAAGACAGAGATTTTACAGCATGAACGTGAGTCCCAGAGGGTCACTGCAGGATGGCACCAAGAACTAGCAGACTGACTGATGCCCAGGCTAATGGTCACTCCAGGATTTGCTTCAATGGCATTCCCAGAGCCATTATCCAGGTTTAATTTGTGTACAGCAATCCTTGGGTCCCCAGATCTCAGAGGGACCAGAATCTAGTTATCACAATCTTCTTTGTTAAGAAATATCCACTCTCGCTTAGATGAGACATTTGCTTTAGAAGAACAATTAAACACAGAGAAAAACCTGTAGGACTGAATGGAAGAACTTTTCTCCAAGTAATTGTCTTTGTATTTGTGTGTGGCATTGGTCTTGGGACTTGGTATCTATTTATTCTGTCCCATCTGTATTTTTTTTAAAAAGTCTTCTCAAAATAAAATTTGGAAATGAGATGAGTCAGCCATACATCAAACCTTCTGTTTGAATAAGCCATGTCACAAGTTTTATGGACATCCCTCTACCTTGATGTATCTTCTTTTTGTTAGATGTATGAAGAAGTTCGTAAGAGTTTAGAAATGTGCAGCATCAAGAAGGACATTGAGTACTTTGTGAATCAGCGAAAAACTGGACAGACACCACCAGGTGAATGGAGCAGCGGGGGTGGGGATTCATTTAAGCAATTCTGTTAGTCTTTCTTGTCATTTGTTGTTGACAGTGGAAGACACCTGCCTCTTCATGGCTTTTGTTGTTGTTGTTGTTTTTTATTGTTGAAAGTATTACAGATGTTCCCCTTTTTTCCCTATTGACTCCCTCCTTCCCACTCCCACCCACCTCCTGCTTTCCCCAACCTAATGTCTATGTCCATTGGTTGTGCATATGCATATAAGTTCTTTGGTTTATCTTTTCCCACCCCTCCCTACTTCCATGTCTCTGGATCTCTTTTGGTCAACAGTTTATTTTGTTCTTGATGTTCCATAAATAAGTGAGATCATGTGGTACTTGTCTTTCTCTGACTGGCTTATTTCACTTAGCATAATACTCTCCAGGTCCCTCCATGTTGTCTCAAAGGGTAAGAGAGCTTTCTTTCTTACAGCTGCTTAGTATACCATTGTGTAAATGTACCACAGCTTTTTTATCCACTCATCTACTGATGGGTACTTGGGCTGTTTACAGATCTTAGCTATTGTAAATAGCACTGCTATGAACATAAGGGTACATATATTCCTTCCAATTGGTGTTTCGGGCTTCTTAGAATATACTCCAAGAAGTGGGATCACTGGGTCAAATGGCAATTCCATTTTTAATTTTTTGAGGAAACACCATAGTGTTTTCCATAGTGGCTGCCCCATTCTGCATTCCCACCAGCAGTGTACTAGAGTCCCCTTTTCTCCACACCCTCGCCAGCACTTGTTGTTTGATGATTTGTTGATGGCAGCCATTCTGGCAGGTGTGAGGTGATATCTCATAGTCATTTAAATTTGCATCTCTCTGATGATTATGTTTTGTTTCTTGATGATCCCTCTAGCACCCATCATGTATGAGAATTACTACTGCCCCCAGAAGGATGCAGCCTCATCAGGAAAGGCTACGGGGGTACTGAACACAGGAAGGTAATCACCAGTTTATTTTCACATGGAGAAAAATACTTTTGATAAACATTTTTAAAAGTTTTTTTTCTTTATTGATTGTTAGAGAGAGGAAGGGAGAGGGAGAGAGAGATAGAAATATTGATGAAAGAGAACATCGATTGGCTGCCTCCTGCATGCCCCCCACTGGGGATCGGACCCCCAACCTGGGCATGTGCTGCAACTGGGAATCAAACTGGTGACCTCTTGGTGCATGGGTCGATACTAAACCACTGACCCACCCAGTCGGGCTTAATAAACATTTTTTATCATTAGTGCTAAGATGTTAGAATTGAAACTTAGTTACTGCTGTATCTGCTTATGAGGTTGCTAGATTTTTGGAAATAGCAATCTTAGGGACAAATGTGAAATGGGTTGTAGCAGTCATAGTTCAAGAAGGACAATATCATGCCTGAGTGTGAATTTTATTATTCATGCATGAATCCCACACCTTTCTCATAGCCTATAGAGAGTAGGACTCAGCCAAGTCCAGCCCTCTGTGAGTCAATCTGACCTGCCTCTCTTGGTAGTGCCTGGGAGTATTTTAATGGTTGAAAATTGAAAGAATACTATCTTGTGATGTGAAAATTACATGAAATTCAGATTCTGGTGTTTGTATATAGTTTTTGTTTTTTTTCTTATCCTCACCCGAGGACATTTTTCCACTCCTTGTTCAGATAGAGTGGGAGGGAGAGAAAGGAAAAGAGAGAGAAACATCAACGTGAAAGGGACACATCGAATGGCAGCCTCCCGCACAACCGACCAGGGCCGGGGACAAGCTACAACCAAGGTATGTGCCCTTAGCGGGAACCGAACCTGGGTCTCTCCGGACTGCAGACCGACGCTCTAACCACTGCGCCAAACCGGCCAGGGCTGTATATAGTTTTTCATCTTATTTTATTTTTTTCATCACCATTTATCCCCCCCCCCACCCCGTGTACATAAGGTTTTATTATAACGAGACCACGTTCATTTGTTTACATTCTATGTATAGCTGCTTTGGCACTAAAGTTGACTGGAGTTGTGAAAGGAGTGACTGGGGTCAGCACAGCCTGAATCAGTCACCGTGTGGCCCCTCACAGGGAAGTTCGCTGCCCCCGACATAAAAGATGCTGAGAGCAGGGGGACTTCTGCCTTATGTACAGTCACCTCGAAGTCTCAGCTGTTGAATTTTCAGTCCAGTTTATAAAAGGTAATGGAGTGTTTAGGGGGATGGCATGATCGTCATCAGTTTGCTCAGTGGTTAGACCGTCGGCCTGAGGACCAAAGGGTCTCAGGTTCGATTCCCTGTCAAAGGCATGTGCCTGAGTTGCGGGTTTGATCCTTAACCCTGTGCAGGGCCATGCGGGAGGCAACCCGTCGATGAGTCTCTCTCACATCAATGTTTTTTTTTCTCTCTCTCCCTCCCTCTCTTCCACTCTACCTGAAAAGTAATGGAAAAATATCATTGGGTGAGGATTAACAACAACAAAAAAGAATGCCAGGCACTGTTCAAAACAATTCATATGAATTAGTTCTTTTAATTCTCACGTGCGGTAGGAGCTGTTTGTATTTCCCATTCACACGCCAAGATGCCGGTGTACAAGGAGATCAGGAAGTCTTGCCCACACCGCTGAGCCGTTCCTCTTAACAGTCTGGTTGCGGGGGCAGGGCTCTGTGCACGTGACCACTGTGCATCTCGCTCCTCAGCATGACCGAATGTCTGCACCTTAGAGTCCAGTAATCAGAACTTTTTTTTTTTATTTTTTTTTATTTTTTATTATCCTCACCCGAGGATATTTTTCCATTTTTTGTACAGTTAGAGAGGGAGGGAGAGAGAGGAAGGGGGAGAGAGAGAGAAACATCGACGTGAAGGGACACATCGAGTGGCTGCCACCCGCACGACCATCCAGGGCCGGGGACAAACTGCAACCGAAGTACGTGCCCTTAGCGAGAACTGAACCCGGGTCTCTCCGGACCACAGGCCGACGCTCTAACCGCTGAGCCAAACCGGCCAGGGCAGAACTTTTTTTTTTAATGAAGATACTTTCTCATTGATTTTTAGATAGAGTGGAAGGAAGGGAGGGAGGGAGAGAGAGAGACATCAGTGTGAAAGAGACACATTGACTGGTTGCCTCCCGCACAACCCCCACCTGGGCTGAGGATTGAACCTGCAACCCAGGTCCGTGGCCTTGACCAGGAATCGAACCTGAGCATCAGGCTGACGCTCCAACCACTGAGCCAGACGGGCCAGGGCTGGAACTCTTCTTGATCCTCTAACGCAGAAACCAGATCTGATGAGAGTGCAGTATGCTTGTTGTGTGATGTGGAAAATTAGGAAAACAAGAACTTCGCTGAAAGACTTTGGTTTTCATTTCTTACAGGAGAGGTCCGCTCCCGGTTCCTAAAAGTTTACCAGGTATGCCACCAAGAAAGACCTTTGGAGATGCTTGTGCCAGCTTTTCTTTAAGGTTGAGTAGCTAGAATTGTGAAATAAAGGAAAAGAAGGGAATAAATAGAATCAAATTCCCTAGAGAATAAGTCTAGACTAGAATCTTACTATAATACCATGTGTCGCAGAGTGGAATTTGGTCATTTGTGTTTATTTTATAGCTATCCAAGAGAATTTAGCTCCTGTAGTACCGAAAGAAACTTCTTAGAAGGCAGTCTTAAGAGATTATTTCATCTTGCACCATGAGAACAGAAGAGCTGAGATAGTTTCCTTTGGATTTTACAGAAATATAATTTACAGAGGCATAGATATCTAGAACTATATAACTTAAACATTGTATATTCTGTGCATTGCCCATAATTGGATATTTTCTAGTTTCTAGGGTCTTTTTTCTTCTGAACTGTTGCCTTACTGTACCTCTGGGAGAACCACACATTTTATTAATTAATTTTTTTTTACAGATGTTTCTCCTTTTCCCCCAACTGATTCCCTCCTCCCCCTCCCTCCCTGCCCTTTCCCCAGTTTGTTGTCCATGTCCACTGTTCATGCATACATGCATATAAGTTCTGTGGTTTATCTCTCCCCCACCACCCCCTCTTCTGGGGATTGTTAGTCTGTACCCCACTTCCACGTCTCTGGGACTACCCCATTCCTTAGACTATTATGTTAATTATATTCCACAAATAAGTGAGATCATATGAAACTTGTCTTTCTCTGTTTGGCTTGTTTCACTTAGGATGATACTTTCCAGGTCCCTTCATGTAGTCTCAAAGGATAAGAGATCTTTCTTTCTTACAGCTGCATAGTACTCCACTGTGTATATATACCATTGTATTTTTATCCATTCGTCTACTGATGGACACTTAGGCTGTTTCCAGATCTTAGCTATTGTAAATAGTGCTGCTATAAACATGGGGGTACATATATTCTTTCTAATTGGTGTTTCAGGCTTCTTGGGGTATATTCCTAGAAGTGGGATCACTGGGTCAAATGGAAGTTCAATTTTTAATTTTTTGAGGTAACACCATATTGTTTTCCATAGTCTGCATTCCCACCAGCAGTGCACTAGAGTCCCCTTTTCTCCACACCCTCGCCAACACTTGTTGTTTGATGATTTGTTGATGGCGGCCATTCTGACAGGTGTGAGGTGATACCTCATTGTTGTTTTAAGAACCACACATTTTAGCATTTTTGTTGTTGTTGTTGTTAGTTATATTCTTTGGTAATGATGAGATCTGAGATCTTTGAGGGCAAGCACTTTGTATTTTCCTGTTCCACTCACAATACCTTATACAGTACTGGGCACATAATAGGTACTCAACAAATATCTATTATTTGAACAAAAGAAAGATATATCTAATAATGTACAAGGGATTGAGGGAAGAGACAGCTATCACTGCATTAAGCAGTTTAGCAAAATATATTTAGTGATAAAAAAAATTAGTGGCTGGCCCTGGCCAGTTTGGCTCAGTGGTTAGAGTGTCAGCCCTTGGACTGAAGAGTCACAGGTTCAATTCTCATCTAGGGTATGTACCTCAGTTGAGGCGTGTGGGAGGCAACCAATCGATGTGTCTCTCTCACATCGATGTTTTTCTCATTCTTTCTCTCTCCCTCCCACTTTATCTGAAGATAAATGGAAGAATATCCTCAGGTGAGGATTAAAAAATAAAATCAGTGGCTGAAATTACATCTCTGAACAATATAAGGATTTACATTATTGTATTTCTTGTTGCCTTATAATTACTTGATAATTACAATTATTTTTGTCCATATTTGAAAATGACTTTGGCTGCTGCTTTCTGGGCATGGATGAAAAAGTACACCAAAAAAATCACAATAGGGATTTCTAGAATATTCTCTGGTTTGTAATCATGACTATCATTTGTAGGTTTTGTTGCCAGATATCTTTTTTTCTTATAAAAGGGCAAGTCACTAGAATCTTTGGGTGGAGTACCTTGATTTGAAAGGGCTAAGATCTTATGAAAAAAATGTTGGCTTCATGGTGCTCTGTGTTCTGCCCTTTGCAGGTGACCCGACTTATTCTTTGGTTGATAACTACAGTTTGATCTACCAGTAACATCAATGGTAAGAGCCTTTCATTTTCACGTCATCAAGTTGCATTTAGACGGGTGACAGTATTTTTGAAGGCTTTGATGCTTCTTTATCACACCACTGCAAGCAAGCAAGGCCTTGCACCAGGCTGGCATGCTGGTGAATGTGGCGTTCCTGCAGAATGACTTCTCCGGATCCCACCTCTGAAAGGGGACTGGAGACCACTTCATACCTATTTGAACGAGGGTATTTTGCCATCATTAATTATTCTACAATTCTTCATCTTGTTCTCATTAGGCTCCTTTTTGGCTATTACTCACCTACATTAAATGCAATGTTCACTAACAAAACACACCTGATTCTCACTTCTTCATTCCCCAAAGGGGAAAAATCAAGTAAAAAGAATCAATAGAACCCAGCTAGTGTGGCTCAGTGGTTGAGTGTCAACCCACTCACCAAAAGGTCGCTGGTTCGATTCCCAGTCAGGGCACATGCTGGAGTTGTGGGCCAAATCCCCAGTGGGGGCATATGGGAGGCGGCCAGTCGATGCTCTCTCTCATTGATGTTTCTGTCTCTCTTTCCCTCTCCCTTCCTCTCTCTCTAAAATCAATAAAGGAAAAAAAGAGGTAACTAGAAATAAGGCAAATTATATTACACTCACCAAACACACACAAGGGCATCACAGGGGTCATTCTGCACCAGATCACTACTGCTCTGGACTAGCAAACCTTAGCCAACCAGAAGGATTCCTAGAGCAGAACTACTAAGTCTACCGTGACTGCAAACATGACTCTTACTCTTTGGCATTCAAGTGCTTGCAACATGCCCTGAGTCACTGTCAATCTTCACAAATGTTTTGGAATGCCTCCAAAGCCAAAATAGCAATACTAAATGAAACTCCTCATAAAGTATAATTCTTTTAACCCAATCAGGCATATCTTGGGGTATGATGATATATGCATATATATGAGCAAATAAAAGGTTTGAAAGGATATATTCCCAAACAGGCAATAGTTTTTCTTTTTGTTTGTGTGTTCTCATTTGTCTGCAGTAAATACTTATTCTTTAATTAAAGGCTGTTTTTTAAAAAATGGATCCTCTTGCATGGTTCTGGTCTTAGTGTGTTCCTGGGAGTGATAGGAGAGGTGGGTAGGATGCAGGAAGTCATAATGGGAGTGGAACAGTCTCTGTGCCACCCTTCCTAGTTTGTGTTGGTGACATTTGCTGTCAGTGCTCCGTGATGCTTTTCCTTCAGTGTTCTACACCACTGAAAAGTGCTTGAAAGGAAGCACATCGAACATCGCTTGCCTTCAACCCTCTAAAAACACCTACTTTGTGACTTATAGCCATTTAGCTAGATAGGACAAAAGCCATGTTGTCTTTTTTTAAAAAAATATGTTTTTGTTGATTTTTTTAGAGAGAGAGGAAATGAGAGAGAGATAGAAACATTAATGTGAGAGAGAAACATGGATAGACTACCTCCTGCACGCCCCCTACTGGGGATTGAGCCCACAACCTGGGCATGTGCCCTGGCTGGGAGTCGAACCGGGATTCTAAGTGGGACCTCTCAGTCCATAGAATGACATTCAGGCCACTGAGCCACACCAGCCAGGCAATGTTGTCTTAATTAGAAATAATCAGCCAGTATTACTTATCTTTAAATGTAAGTCTTTAAATTGCTTAAGAAGTGTATTTAATATTTAAGGAACTATGCTGTAAAAGATATTGGAAATTGAAGACATAAAATACCCCATCCTCTCACTATACATAACTTTCTGACCTACGAGGTGTAGTCTTTACAACCAGTCATCATTTCTTTATTTTGTAAGCCTCCCTCTTTCTCATGGAAAGAGACAAAGTCCATTGGGCGTAGAGCGGCAACATGAAAAATCAGTGACTTGGGTTCACAAGTGAAGCTGGCTCTGGACCCCATGTAGATGATGGCTATGGGCAGGGTATCCGCAGCTCCAAGAGTTTCTTTTTTTTTAATCCTCACCCGAGGATATGTTTTTATTTATATTAGATTGAGAGAAAGGAAGAGACACAGAGAGAGAAACATCAGTCAATTGCCTCCTGTACCCACCCCAACCCGGGATTGAAACCACAACATAGGTTTGTGCCCTGACTGGGAATCAAACCTGAAAGCTTTTGGTGTACAGTACGACACTCCAACCAACTGAGCCACCCAGCCGGGGCTCCAAGAGGTTTTTTGTTGTTGTTGTTGTTATTAATCCTCACCCAAGGATATTTTTTCATTGATTTTATAGAGAGTGGAAGGGAAGGAAGGAGAGAGAGAAACATCAGTGTGAGAGAGACACATCAATTGGTTGCCTCCTGCACGACACTGACCAGGCCAGGGGATCAAACCTGCAACCAGTGTACATGCCCTTGACCAGAATCAAAGCAATGACCCTTTGGTCTTTAAGCTGATGCTCTAACTGTAGAGCCAAACTGGCCAAGACCAAGAGGTTTTGTTTTGTTTTTTAATATTTTTAAAATTGATTTTAGAGAGAAGAAGGTAGAGGGAGAGAGAGAGAGAAACATTGATCGGCTGCCTCCTTCACACCCCCTACTGGGGATCGAGCGTGTAATACTGGCATGTGCCCTGACCGGGAATCAGTCAAACTGGCAGCCTCTCAGTCAGTGCATGGGACAATGCTCAACCAACTGAGCCACACCGGCAAGGGCCAAGAGTTTCTTTTTATTTTTAACCTCGTTCTTTCCTGCCCTCACCAGTTTGCATAAAGCATATGTTCTCCTTGCATAACAATAGGTTTTGAGCCAGCAACTCTAGTTCCTCTGCGCCCAAGAATCTGCTGGAACCAGCACATTTACTCAAGTTATATATTTCATCGGGGTTCATTAGTGTCTGCACCAGTGCAGTGAATAGGAATTCAGTATATACATGTATAATTGGTTGGATGTAAGATAATTTTAAAGAGGAGAGTCTACCTTAGTAAGTTAAGAAACTTATCACATTTGAAATAGTTTGCAAGAAGCTTTGGGATTAAAATTTAAATAGGAAGTTTTAAGAATTTGCAGTTCATTCTGCAGTTGTTGATTTTAGCTGCTATTCCTGTTTTTAATTCTAAAATGTTTAGGTAAAAAGAGATTAACTTTTTATTTTGCATTCTTGTATAACATTTTTTTTTCTTTTTCTTTTTCCTTGCTATCTTTTTTAAAAATGTTTTTTTTTATTTTTGAAACAGTTCATGTACAATATTATATTAGTTTCAGGTGTACAACTTTGTGATTAGCAATTTATATAACTTACAAAATGATTACCGTGATAAATCTAGTACCCATCTGGCACCATACATATTTATTACAATATTATTGACTATATTCCCTATGTTGCACTTTACATTCCTGTGACTTTTCTGTTACTATCACATTGTACGTCTTAATCTCTTCATCTTTTTTACCCATCCCTTCAACCCTAAATTTTATTTTTCTGTTTTATTGTATTTGATTTTTTTTTTATCCTGACCCGAGGACATTTTTTCATTTTTTATTCAGATAGATGTGGGAGGGAGAGAGAGGAAGAGAAAGAGAGAGAGAGAAACATCGACGTGAAAAGGACACATTGAGTGGTTGCCACCCGCACGACCCAACCAGGGCCGGGGACAAACTGCAACCCAGGTACATGCCCTTAGCAGTAACCGAACCCAGGTCTCTCTGGACTGCAGGCTGACACTCTGACCACTGAGCCAAACCAGCCAGGGCTGTATTTGATTTTTTAATTGAACGTATTGAGGTGACAAAATTATATAGGTTTCAGGTGTACAATTCTATAATATATCATCTATATATTTTATTGTGTATTCACCACCCTAAGTCAGATCTCCTCTAAATTTTATTTTTCAATTGCAGTTTACATTCAGTATTATTTTGTATTAGTTTCAGGTGTACAGCATAGTGATTAGACAATTGTATACTTTACATAGTGTTCCCCTCAATATTTTAAGTACCCACCTGGCACTGTACATACTTATAATATTATTGACTATATTCTCTGTGCTGTTCTTTATTAATCCTCACCTGAGGATATTTTTCTATTGATATTCAAATAGAGTTGGAAAGGATGGCGGGAGAGAGAGAGAGATATCGATGTGAGAGAGGCACATCGAGTGGTTGCCTCCTGAACTTGCCACAACTGGGATTGGGGATTGAACCTGCAATATACCCTTGACTGAGAATCAAACCTGCAACCCTTCAATCCACGGGCTGACACTTGATCCACTGAGCCAAACTGGCCAGGTGTATTTGACATCCCCAAGACAGATTATAACTTTTGAATTTAAAAATATGTGCATCAAAAAAGTATAAATACCTGTGTTGCCCTGGCTGGTGTGGTTCAGTGGTTAGAGTATTGGTCAACACACTGAAGGGTCATGGGTTTGATTCCTGGTCAAGGGCATGTACCTGGGTTTCAGGTTTGATCTCCGGCCCTGGTCGGGGTGTGTTCGGGAGGCAACCAATTGATGTATTTCTCTCACACTGATGTTTCTCTCTCTCTTTCTCTCTCTCTTTCTCTCTCTCTTTCCCTCTTCCCCTCCCTCCCTTTTAGTCTCTCTAAAAATCAATGGAAAAAATATCCTTGGGTGAGGATTAACAACAACAACGAAAAGTATAAAAACGTGTTATTTACCATAAAGCGATGGGTGCATTATCATATCCTGTTTTTCATCACTTGGAATACCCATTTCTTGCAATGTGTTTTTCTTTATTCATGTTGAATAAAATCTCAATGTAGGAGCAGGGTGCTGATGTGAATGGTTAATTTAAATGACATTTCTTTGTTATTTTCTTTCAGAAAACACAGCTTTTTCTGGCTGGTGCTTCTGTGGCATGGAAGGAGGCACTCTGAGCAGCCAAATCTGTAGAAATTAGGACAATCATGAAGACTCTGAAGTGAACCCTTGCTGTAATTTTTTGATATTTTAAACTTATGGTAGACATTTAGTTTAACTTACCTAATAGAGTTCTGCAGTTTCTAAAAGAAGTCTACAAATTGGCCCAGACTCAAGAAT